ATCTTAATGATTATTTGTTTACCAGCAGCTACATATTCAAATTTGATGTGCAAAAAATAACGTCGTTTAAACGTTGTGAAGAAATTTTAAATACCGATGATCTAAAGGCATGGTTGTTGTTTGTTCCCTTGGTTCCCCTCTCTATATCTACGTTTCTTATTTTTGATGTCTTTTAGCGCAAATCTTGGACCAGTGATAAGCAACAACTTTTTCATTAACTCGGTTTTACAGTCTCATAACTTAAATATTGCACATTCAAATTGTCGTAGTGTTAGGCCATCAGCGAATTCCACTAAATTTCAAGACCACAAATCAATATAATATATGGTTTAAACCCCAAGTTTCAAGCGGTGCAGTTGATATAATTGGATATACATTTATCAGGAATGATCGTATCAAGACTCAACATGTGGTTGTTTTCGCATGTATATTATGAAATGAATTAGTTACGAAGCAGTATTCAAATCTTCGGCGTTGGGGAAAATACGAATTCCTGTTCATTGAATTAGTATCAAGTGATGCAAAGATTTTAGTTGGAGTGACCGGCTCCGCCTGGTGACTTTACCTTTTTTTCAACATTTTCATAATAATCAATTTTTGTCATATACCAATTCGCCTTAGCGGATGTACCCAAGAAGTACAAAATCGATATTATTGCCATACAGGAAATGCGATGGAAAGGGTATGGCGTAAATGAATCAGATGATTACGCCCTGTATTAAGCTGCCATGAAACGAGGTATGAATTTGGTTGCGGATTTATGATTAACAGGAGAATAAATAGAGGAGGAAATAAAGGAGATTTTAATGCAAATAAGGCTTTGTATACATGTAAGAGTTTAAATAAATAAATGAATCAGATGATTACGCCCTGTATTAAGCTGCCATGAAGCGAGATATGAATTTGGTTGCGGATTTATGATTAACAGAGAATAAAAAGAGGAGGAAATAAAGGAGATTTTAATGCAAAAATCGGAAGGGAAAATATTTTTGGTCCCACCGTCGGAAAATTCAGCCTCTATTGACTTCGCGGCAGCAAAAAAACATCGTAGTTAGCAGCACCAGATTCAAACATCTCGATATAAACAAGGCCACCTGGATTTCTCGTGATCAAGCAACGAGAAATCAAATTGACCATGTTGTGATAGATGGAAGGCATTCGTCCAGTGTTTTAGACATTCGATCGATATGAGAAGCGAATATCGATTCGGAGCACTCAAGGTTCGCATCCGTCTTAATGTAGCAGCAAAGGTGCGATCTAATGTAACACGGAAAGTCGACATCGAAAAGCTGCAAACACAACAGGTAGCCGAGGCCTACTCCGCTCAAGTTACCAACCTGCTTGACGAAAGCACTTCTTGTCCCGATAATAATATATAAGCTTAGTGGCAGAGAATTGCCCACTCCCTACAAACTCCAGCAAAAGCAACACTTGGGTACCAAGAACCACTATCAAGAAACCCATGTTACGATCAGGAGTGTCGTAATGCTACCGATGTAAAAAACGCAGCGTATAGGGCAACCCTGCTGATAGCAACACGTAATGTGATGGAAAATTATCAGGTGAAACGGAGGGAGGAGAAACGTATTTTCAGAAAAAAGAAGAAAGAACAAGAAAAACAAGAGCGTGAGCAAATCGAGATGTATAGGAGTCAGAATGAAGTTCGAAAATTTTAACAACGAGTAAAACACCAAACCGAAGGCATTGGTGCAGGCACATCCTCCTGTATAGATGAAGAAGGAAACCTGGTGACAGATACAGACAGAGTGCTGAGGATCTGGAAGGAGAAGGAGAAGATACCCCATAACCAATAAAAGATGACGGTGTAGAGTGTATACCACCTAGCCAACATGAGGTCAGAATAGCAATCAATCGGCTGATTGCTATCCCATCGGCACCTGCCGATGAGCAGGTGCCGATGGGTTACAAGCCGAACTATTCAACTGTCTGACTATGTCGGACATCGATATAGTCAGACGGTTCGAGTTGCAGCGACTACGTTGGCTAGGTCAACTTGTGAGAATCGATGAAGATGCCCCAGCTCAAAATGCATATAAAAGCGAGCCAAGTAATGGTTCACGCAGAAGGGAAACGCCACGAATCCGATGGAAGCATCAAGTAGAGGACAACGTATCGGAAAATGGTCTTTCAAATTATTTAATGAAAAGTAACAATTATATATATTTTATTTTTAATTTTTTTCACTATATATTTTTTATATTTATTATTTTTAATATTTGTTACTTTTAATTATTTTATTTTTTATTATGTTATGTTCATTATTATTTATTTTTTAATTATTTTTATTTTCAAATATTTATTCCCATATTAAATAACTTTCCAAAATCTTCATATTAACTTTTAATATTGATATTTTTTAATTCTACCTTTCTTTCAATAGATGTCCAGTCTATTTGGCGCCCGAGGCGGCTTTGCCCAACCCCTGCAACCTCTACTGCAATCGCTTTTGGGACCGAATAGTACCCCCTCCACCACCACCCAACAATATTTGGAAATGTTTCAATATTATAAAAATCTAAATGCTTATGCTGATCTCAATTCAACCTATTCAACACTGTCGGCGATGGGTGCGGGTCGCATGCCCACCTCTGCAGGGCCATCCTCCGCAAGTGCTGCAAATCCTTTGGCTGCCTTGGGCGATCTAAGTATGTATGGTCTGCCCTCGAGTGCATTACAGGGTTTAAGTGCCAGTTCGGCGGGTAGTATGAATTTGGCAAGTAGTGTTTTGGCAGGAGCATTACCTCCACCACCGCCACCACAGCCAACACCATCCTCTGCAGCAGCAGCAATTGCAGCAGCGGCCGCGGCAGCAGCTGCTAACTCATCAATGTATACCTCTGCCGCCGCTGCCTCCTCGGCATCATCTTCTTCTACACCATCGTCCATGGTAAATGCGGTTCTATCATCAGCCGCAGCAGCCTCCAGTATGACCAACACCACAAGTTTTGAACAATATCAACAATCGTTGCGGAATTCCTATCCCCAGCTGCCCAATATGTATAGTTATGCTGGTGATTTTGGTATTGGTTCGTCGGGTTCGACAATATTGGATAAATCAAAGTCGGGGAAAAACAATAAACATCATTCGTCGTCGTCTTCGGGACATAACAGCAATAAAAATTCTAGCAATTTACCGGGTGGTAAGGGTAATAATAATAATACCACTCCAACCCCAGTTAGCCTGTACTCCTCGGCCTCGTCTTATTTAAATCAGCAGCAACAGCAACTACAGCATCCATCCTCACATCATCCTCATTCAAGACCCAGTTCTAGAAATACTCCAACAACAGCGGAATCGAATAAAACGAAAAATAATACAGCGCCCCCCATCGCTGCTTCCTCGGCGTTAACATCCTCATCTGCCTCCAGTTCGACATCCAGTACAACAAAGTCTACAATTTCGACATCATCTACAAGTTCGTCTGCTTCCTCTTCCACAACAACAAAGTCGAATAATAGTGGTCATGATTCGCCCAACAATACAAATAGTTTAATAAATTATCGGCGTTCCGAATCTTCGGCCAGTGGTAATCCATCGACAAAATCCCAACAAAGGAGACTGGGAAATACGGATCAGGCAAAGGGTAATAATAACACAGCTAGTGGAGGTGCGAGTTCGGTTATTGCTTTGGGTACTCCCCAAAAATCCTCAATATCCCAGCAGAATCAGAGTCCAGCATCAGCATCTCACTCTACAAATTCTAAATCATTATCCAAATCAAATACTTCGTCGGCTAATCAAAAATCTCAACAAAAACAAACCACCACTTCATCAACCTCATCCTCCACCTCCTCCTCATCGATCTCCTCCTCCTCGACGTCCTCATCCAATTCCCATAATGTGTCTAATAATTCCGGCAAGTCATCATCAGCTAGTCTGGGTGGTGAAACCAGTCGTACCATGAACATGGGTATTTTATATCCCAAAAATCAGGACAAATCCTCCGCCTCCTCCAAACCCAATTCACCCATGAATATGGGCATTGTTTATCCCAGATCATCCGGCTCAACAAAATCCAATAACAACACCACCACGAGCACATCATCATCTTCATCCACCACCAACTCTGAAATGCAAATAATACCCACCTCTTCGCCGCCCGGAACCATCAGCATATCGAAACAATTAAATGATCTGTCACCAAGTATATCATTGACAGCTGTTACCAAACAAACGACGACGACGTCAGGAGGTACAAATAAATCTGGGTCAGGGGGTGGTGGGTCAGGTGCAATAAATATCAAAAGTATAAGTGGTGGCTCCGGAGCCACATCCTCCGCCTCCCCGATACAAATTAATAAGGTTTTACAAAACAATACGACAATACGTAGGACCTCAAGTCCGGTTCAAGTGGCTGGGGGTTCAAAACAACAATCAGGAAATCCCAGCTCCGCCACAGGTCAAAATGCCAGCAATATTTTGGCCCGCTTTAAGGCCAAACTACCCCAAAATACCAGCAGCAGCAACAATCCTCCACCCCTACATCGGGCCAATACCTCATTGGGAATTACACAAAAAACACCCACTGTCAACCTAACCTCCAAAACTCCATCGGGTCTAATTATTACCAATGTAAAAACCCCCATCAAACAACAGCCACAAAATTTTGGCAACAACAAAGGGGTAACCCCTACAACAACAGCAAGTGGCAGCAGCAACCAGGCGGCCGTCTCCACCCTGGCCAAACAACAGGCTGCCGTATCAGTGGCCAAATCCAATAGCCAACAAAGGATACCCCCGACCTCCTCCTCCACCACCTCCATAAATTTACAAAAATCCTCCTCTAACAATAACCTGCCCTCCATATCCTCCCTTAAGGGTGGCACAATTATCAAGAAAACCAATCTAACCCCAGCTGGACGTCACAAACTACCCGTCTCTCTCAGTAATTCGCCCTCGTTGACGGTGACCTCCAGCAATAAATTACCCATAATTAGCAGTGTCAAATCGATTTCACCTGCCATGGCGGCCAGTATGGCCGCTGCATCATCGTCCTCTGGGAAATCGACAACAATTTCCAAAATCACAACATCCTCCGGTTTGGTCAATAAACCCTCGGTGGTAAATGTGGCCAAAACATTGGCCCAAATGCAAAAGCGAATGTCCTCCTCAATGTCCGCCACAATGGTGGCGGCCTCCTCTTCATCATCACAATCATCGACGACGGCAGCAGGAGGGAGTTCAATGCGTAACACAGTCAACATACGACCTGTGGTAATGGATTCTAAACAGAATTCTGCTAATATAGCGGGTGGTGGGGGTAATGCTGCCGGCAGCGGGGGTGGTGTCTATATTATTGAGACAAATATCAATGATAAAAAAGTGGCAATAGGAGCACCGACCAAAAGGTAAGTCAAATAATATTTAAATCTACAAAAAATATTTTTCCACGGCCTACATTTTTTAAATAATTTTTTTGGTCCGAGTCTACTAGACGTCTTGCGCGTTGATACCATCAGCTTGGTCTTCTCGCCGTTTACTGCCAGACCCACTTTGGCAGACTCCTTCTCAATTTGTTCAAAGATGGCTGTTACCGCTCGCAATGTTCGACCCATTTTAAAAAGATCACACGACAAACTGTCTCCTTGTCTGAATCATCTTTCGGTATTGAAGGGCTCCGATAGGTCCTTTCCTACATTAACTGCTGACCTTGTGCCACCTAAAGTTATCCTGCATAGCCGTATTAATTTTGCAGGAATGCCGAACGTATACATGACTTTAAACACCTCTGAACAGATGGGGCTGTCGAATGCGGCTTTATCGTCGACAAATAGATGGTATGTGTCGATGTGTTTTTCGTGGGTCTTTTCCAGGATTTGGAGCAGAGTGAAGGTCTGGTCAATGGTGGATTTGGGCAGGTTTGAAGCCGCATTGGTATGGTCCAATGATGTCATTGACCATTGGCTTCAGTCGTTCACCACATAGCACACTGGATAGCATTTTATATGCGATGGGAAGGAGACTTATTCCTCTATAGTTGGCACATATTGTCTTGTCTCCTTTCTTGTGCACGGGACACAGGATACTGAGGTTCCAATCATTGGGCATGCATTCCTCTAGCTAAATTGTACTAATCAGCTGGTGCATGCTCCTGACCAGAATCCGACCACCAGTCTTTAATAGTTCGGCTGGTAACCCATCGGCTCCTGCTTCTTTATTGTTCTTGAGCCGATTAATTGCTTTTATGACCTCATCTTGGCTAGGTGGTATACACTCTATACCGCCATCTATTATTGGTTCTGGGGTATCCTCTTCGCCGCTAATATTTGGTATCAGGAGTTTTTCAAAATGCTCCTACCAGATCCTCAGCACGCTGTCTGTACCCGTCACCAGGTTTCCTTCTTTATCTCTACAGGAGGATGTGCCTGCATCAAAGCCTTTGGTTTGGTGTTCTACTCGTTGGTAAAATTTCCGGACTTCATTCTGACTCCTGTACATCTCGATATGCTCACGCTCACGTTTTTCTTGCTCTTGCTTCTTTTTTCTGAAAATACGTTTCTCCTCCCTAGTTTTCTCCCGATAGTACTCCATCGCATTACGTATTGCTACTGTCCGCAGGGTTGCCCTATACGCAGCGTTTTTCATATCAGTAGCATTACTACACTCCTGATCGTACCACGGATTTCTTGATGGTGGTCTTTGGTACCCAAATGTTGCATTTGCTGCAGTTTGTAGGGTGTGGGCAATTTTCTGCCATTGTGCTTCTATATTATTATCGGGACAAGGGGTGCTTTCGTCAAGCAGTTGGATAAGTTGAGCGGAGTAGGCCTCTGCTACCTGTTGTGTTTGCAGCTTTTCGACGTCGAGTTTCCGTGTTACATTAGATCGCACCTTTGCTGCTACATTAAGACGGGTCTGTACCTTGGCTGCCACAAGGTAATGGTCCGAATCGATATTCGCTCCTCGGATCGATCGGACGTCTAAAACACTGAGACTGATGTAGAAGAACTTCACTTTTATATGGATTATAGCAATTCGCTAATCTACTGGAGTGAGTCTGGAGACGAGGTCTTTTATTCTCCTGTTAACCTTAAATCCGCAGCCAAATTCATGTTTCGTTTCATGGCAGCTATAATACAGGCCAATCAGAGCCGTTACTTGGTATCTATCATCATTCGGGGACAGGCGTGGATTTTTAAATCATTTTTTTTCGGGGACAACTACATAATGCGTGGATTTTTTAAATAATTTTTGCGGTCTTTTAAAAATTCAATATTAATCCAATTTTTATTTGTTTTTTGTTTCATTCCAGTGGCGGTGGCACAACAGTAACCAAAGTTTCTGCTCAAAATCCAAATAAACGCAAGAATGCCGATCCTCTGTCTAAGGAAATCACTATCGAAACTAAACGTCTAAAAAATTAAAAAAATTAATTTAATAGAAATTAATTTAAAACAAAAAAATATATATTTTCTTAGTATATGTTTTATACTTGCTATTTTTTTACGATAAACTATAGCTTTCGTGTAAAAAGCCGAACGGTAAAAAATTAACTTAACACAATATTTGAAGTGATTACATTTTGGTTTTTTTATATAAATATAAATTATGGAATAACCCTAGTATTTAAGCTCTTAAAAACTATTCACTAAAATGTATTATAAGATTATCAGTTTTGTTTTTTAAATCAAATTAAAATTAAGCAACTTAGGTCAACAAGGAATTGTTATCTATTTTTGTTTTCTTTATTTCTCTTTTATATTATTAAAATTTTGTATGTATAAACTATTTTAAAAAATACTATTTTTTTGTAAACGTATTAATAATTTTCGTTTATGTATTACTATATAAATATACATATATTTATGTATAATATTAGGTGTAAAAAAATATGTGCAACAATTTTAACTATAACAAATACTTATGTGCATGAACGGATATATCAATAAACAAATTACAAAATCATCGAATAATCATTTGAAAAAAAAAAACTTATTTACAAAATCCAGATGAGCGAATTGCTATAACCTGCATAAAAGCGAAGTTCTTCTACATCAGTCTTATTTGCGACAATGCTCCGACCGAAGACAAAGATGAGCAGACCAAAGACGTATTTTACGAGCGCCTAGAAAATGACTTTGTCAACACCGTCGGAAAATTCTGCCTTCGTGAAGAAACATCCGACAACGGCATCAGGTTGATTGACTTCACGGCAGCAAAAACATGGTAGTTAGCTGCACCAGATTCAAACATCTCGATATACACACAAGGCCACCTGGATTTCTCTTGATCAATCAACGAGAAATCAAATTGATCATGTTGTGTGGTAGACGGAAGACATTCATCCGAGGAGCGAATATCGATTAGGCAGCCAATGTTCGCACTCGTCTTAATGTTGTAGCAAAGGTGCGATCTAACACAACACGGAAATTCGACGTCGGAAAAGCTGCATACACAACAGGTAGTAGCCGAAGCTAACTCCGCTCAACTTACCCAACTGCTTGACGAAATCACCCCTTGTCCCGATAATAATATAGAAGCACAATGACAAAGAATTGCCCACTCCCTACAAACTGCAGCAAAAGCAACACTTGGGGTACCAAAAACCACCATCAAGAGACCCATCGTACGATCAGGAGTGTCGTAATGCTATTGATGTGAAAAACGCAGCGTATAGGGCAACCCTGCAGATAGTAGCAACACGTAATGTTATGAAGAATTATCATGAGAAAAGAAGGGAGGAGAAACGTGTTTTCGGGAAAAAGAAGAAATAACAAGAAAAACGTGAACGTGAGCAAATCGAGATGTACAGGAGTCAAAATGAAGTCCGGAAATTTTACCAACGAGTAAAACACCAAACCGAAGGTTTTGTGCAGGCACATCCTCCTGTAGAGATGAAGAAGGAAACTTGGTGACAGATACAGACAGTGTGTTGAGGATCTGGAAGGAGCATTTTAAAAAGCTTCTGGTATCAAATAGTGGCGGAGAAGAAGAAGATACCCCAACCAATAAGAGATGATGGTATAGAGTGTATACCACCTAGCTAAGATGAGGTCATAAAAGCAATTAATCGAGTCATGAACAATAAAGCAGCAGGAGCCGATGGGTTACCAGCCGAACTATTCAAGACTGGTGGTCAGATGCTGGTCAGGAGCATGCACCAGCTGATTAGTACAATTTAGCTAGACGAATGCATGCCCAATGATTGGAACCTCAGCATCCAGTGTCCCGTGCACAAGAAAGGAGACAAGACGATATATGCCAACTATAGAGGAATAAGTCTCCTTCCCATCGCATATAAAGTGCAATCCAGTGTGCTGTGTGAACGACTGAAACCACTGGTCAATGACATTATTGGACCATACCAATGCGGCTTCAGACCTGGAAAATCCAACATTTTTACTCTGCGCCAAATCCTGGAAAAGACCCACGAAAAACATATCGACACATACCACCTATTCGTCGACTATAAAGCCGCATTCGATAGCCCTATTCGTTCAGAGGTGTTTAAAGCCATGTCTACGTTCAGCATTCCTGCAAAATTAACACGGCTATGCAGGATGACTATAACTGGCACAAGATCAGCAGTTAAAGTCGGAAATGACCTCTCGGAGCCCTTTAATATCGAACGAGCATTCAGACAAGGTGACAGGAGTCTGCCAAAGTCTTGCGACCTTTTTAACATCCTGCTGGAAAAGGTCATACGAGAGGCAATGGTGAACAAAAATTGCACTCTGTACACCAAACAACACCAGTTACTCGCCTACGCCGATGACATCGATATAATGGGTCGAACATTGCGAGCGGCAACTGCCACATTTGAACAAATTGAAAAGGATCTGCCAAAGTGAGTCTGGCAGTAAACGGCGAGACGTCCAAGCTGATGATATCAACGCGCAAGACGTCCAGTAGACTCCGACCAACTGTGGAACGTGAGAACTACAGCTTTGAAGTAAAGGATTTTATATACCTTGGTACCGCCATAAATAAAACAAATGACATCAGTTTTGAAATTCGGAGAAGGATTGTGATGGCCAACAGATGCTACTATGATCTAAGTAAGCAGTTTAGAATCAAGGCCACCTGTCGCCAGACCAAACTCGCTTTTTACAAGAGGCTGGTACTACCCGTGCTATTATACGGACCTAAAGCATGGGTATTTACGCAAGCAGATGAGGCAGCTCTTGGGGTGTTTGAAAGAAAAATTCTCCGAAAGATCTATGGTTTGATCTGCGTCGACGGTGAATATCGGCGTCGAATGAAGCTTTGGAATTTATACGCGGACATTGACATAGTCGTATTGAGCTGCAGCGACTACGATGGCTAGGCCATGTTGTGCGAATGAATGGGAATACCCCAGCTCAAAAGGCATATAAAAGGGTAGAAGGGGAAGGCCACGAATCAGATGGAAAGATCAAGTAGAAAACAACATCTTGGAACGTGGTCTTTCAAATTGGCGGAGATGCGCTTGGAAATCATTTTTAAGCTCGGCTTATGGAGCAACCGTTCTGTAACAAGCCAGCTAAATTGGGTCTAAAGTCGATCTACACATCCCTATGTGAAACGTCAACACTAGTCATTTGCTCCCCTTTTGTGTTACAGCTGTTCTTGTTAGTCAAGACTGGCGCCATTATTCTTTACATGCATTTGTAAACACCGGTTTGTTGGTGGAACGTTTTTCATTTTGTTTGGCTGACCAAACAAATATGGCAATGTGGCATATGCAGTCTGCCAGCCAGCCATCTGTCAACGACAGCGACTCTATTGAGTGAGAGTACCAAACAAAGAACAACGTAAATAAAAATTTAATTCTGGAAGCAAAAAGCTTTAAATATACAGACAATTTTGCGGTTAATAAAAAAATAAACCACAATTGCATTAAACTAAGAGTAGGAGGAGAGGTAGGAAGGTCATTTTAAATCGCTTGCGGTTAAAAATAACAAAAACATGTTTTCCAATTGCAGCTGCTGTGTTCGGGGCTGTGTTAAACACAAGAATAGTTCCGCGTGTTTCTGTTTAGGCAAAGAGAGGGGAAGAGAGATAGAGCAACAAACCACAAACAAATCAAATCAATAAGCGGTGAAGTTATCTGCTTGAACCTATCTAACATTTGTCTAACCAACCTCCAAAGTCCATTAGTGCGTGTGTGCTGACGCTGCTCAAACCGTATCTTCCATACACAACGACATTTCATTTCTTTACGACATGTCTCAGCAACCTGTTGCATTTTTAACCCGCAAAGAAACCTTTAGCGCTTGCCATCGCCTGCACAGGTAAGAACGTAAATGTAAACAAAAAACAATTTATAAATAAATATTCAGATATCAATTATTCCAAGGTTGCTGGTGGTAGTGGTGTTGTTGATGACGATGATGATTTATTTCCACGGAATTTCATATTTTTAACTTTCCTTTGTTCGGCACGACGACTGCACCACCACATCTAGTATTTATTTGTTAAAGCTCCTTTCACTTTCATTATTTGTTGTTTATTTCTTTGTGTTGATGGTTTTTTGTTTATTTTTTATTATCTTCCCCAATCCCAATGTATACAGTTTTTTCATTTGAGTATTTTCTTCCATTTTCAGTAAACATTTGAGTGATGCCGAAAACCGTGAAATCTATGGAAAATGTAACAATCCAAATGGTCATGGCCACAATTATACGGGTGAGTGATAATAAAAAGAAACCTACCTAAAAAATGCCACATAACTATTAGGTCATGTCAGGTTCAACAACGAAAATAAATCAAGTTCAAAACTACACATTGATATGGCAACAGGTTTCCCAAGCTAATCTAGCAACCATTTAGTATAGTCAAATATAGATGGCGTCATATGGTTCTAGCACAGTGGTTTAGGCTTAACTGAAACAAAGATTTTTTCAATAGGATGTTTTAAAACAATTTTTTTTCAATGTCTAAATAAGGCATGGATTTTTAAATATTTTTTTTCAATGTCCTTAACAGGCGTGGATTAAAAAATATACAAAATCTCTAACAAGCATGGATTTTTTTAAAATAATTTGGATATTTTAAATAATTTTTTCAAAGACCATAGGTTAGGTTAGGGATGTACCGTTGTTAGTAACAACCGTCCACTCGGAGACTAATGTCCTTGTGATCATCCTTTTTTACCTGCAAAGAGAAGAAAAGTGAGAATGGAAGAGCAAGGAGAAAAGATAGCGAGAGAAGAAGAACGGAGAAATGGTTATTTTAGCCATGTCAAATTTTTGACAAAGCCTAGGATCTGGTTTGGGGCTATTTTAGAGTAGAAAGTTAGATTATCAATTTCATATCTTCCAAACTGTTTATGTCTTCTGCCAAACAGCGATGGACATTTACAGAGGATATGTTCAATTATTTCTATTTCTTCTTCGTCCTCACATAGACGAAAGTAATCCTATCCGCTGGAGTCCCACTTCGAAGTGAGAGA